ATTAGAATGATTTTTTCTAGAACTTTGCTAATTGTGGGAAGGAGACTTACCGGGCGGTAGGAGGTCGGATCCGAGGGATCTTTCCCCTTTTTGTGAAACAGAGCGATCTCTGCCAGCTTCATATCTTTCGGAAAGTGTCCTACTTTCCAGCATGCTTTGGAGACTGAGTGGATCAGCTCTGGAAACTCATTATGCAATGCCTTGAGTATTATATTGTCTAGGCCATCCGGCCCCGGTGCCTTTTTCCTTGCCAAACCATTTATGATTAGGTCTACCTCCTCTATTGTTGGTGGGATTCTAATAAAGTTTATAGAATTATCAAGGACACAATGATACCTTGTGCTAAAATGTCCATCCCTAGAGGAAGGCAAAAGAGATATAAATACTTCTGGACAGATGAACTGACCTCCCTAAAAGCTAAGAGAGCCAGGCTTAGAAGAAAGGCAGAGTTGACTCCTGACCCTGCAATGTTCAGGCTTGGAGAAAACAATCTGCATACTTTAGAAAGGCTCTTATTGCCAGTAAACGATCCTCATTTAAGGAATTTATTTCAAAAATAAATTACCAAACTGATAGTAAAAGAACGTTTAAATTTGTAGGCAACCTAATGAATGATCCTGCTGGCTTACCTAAACAGACCTTCATAATTAAAGATAAACAACTTCCTTCAGATTCTTCTGTAGCGAATTGCTTTGGCACAGCATTTCTGTAGAGCTAATAAGAAAAACACTTATGCAAAAATACATTCCCCCAGAATTAAGCAAAAAACTACACTCCAGCAATCGGAATTTGAATCTTCCTACTGATTCAGTTTTTGAGGCGCCCATTACTTGAGACGAATTGAACTATGCTTTGAAAAGAAAGCCTTCCTTGTGGAAAATCACTGGTGGAGATAGAATCCATTCTGAGTTTCTCCCCCATCTTGATCCTAAAGCATTTGAGACTGTTTGGATCTTTTTCAATCTAATTTGGAACAATGGTATTGTACCAGCTGAATGGCGAACTTCTATCATTATGCCCATACATAAGAAAGACAAATTCGGGATAGTCTCCGTAACTATAGACCAATATTGCTTACTAGTATTAAGGAGAAGGCTATAGAGAAAATAATTGTGAGAAGACTTAATTATTACTTGCGGACTTCTTGCCAAGTAGCAGGCGGAATTTAGAAGCTCCAGATTTACTAACCAACATGTTGCCCTCTTGAGTCAACGTGTCAAGGATGCCCTGGATAATAGCCTGAATGCAGTTTTTATTGATCTCAAATCTGCCTATGACAAAGTATAGCAGGAGAGCGTTCTACTGAAACTGCCGGGTCTAGGCATTAGAGCAAATCTTTTTAATTGGATTAGAGGCTTTCTGTGCCAGCGCTCTTTAACAGTCAGGTACAGTAACGCTCTATTGAAATCTAAGATCTTAAAATCAGGTCTCCCACAGGGAGCTGTTAGTAGCTGCTCCCTTTTTAATATCTATATTAATGATTTGATTTATAAAATACGAGAGATTCTGGCATCAAGTGCCTCTTATACACTGATGATTTGGTTTTCTGGAAAGTTTCTAAAAAAGAAAGTGCAGTAAGAAACATAGAGACTAAACTCTCCGCTGCCTTGAATGCTTTGAAAGTTTGGTGTGATACTAATAATATGGAGGTGATCTTGAATAAATCATACTGCCTGACTTTCTCACTTATGCACCAATCTTTGGATCTTCAGCTGACGTATAAGGGTACCCAAATCCCCTTGTGCGATAAATTTAAACATTTGGGTGTGACGTTTGACTGCAAATTAACATGGAAGCCACAACCATGCTACAAAGAGATTCAGTGTCCTTAAATGCCTTGCTGAGGCAAGTTGGGGTTGTACTAGACAAATCCTGCTTCAAATTTATCATTCATTTATCCTCCCCCTTCTGACTTACTGTTATGAACCACTTGTTGCGGCCGTGGAAAATGTACTCAAGAAAAATCCAAAATCAGTGCTTACGTATTGTTTCTGGAGCCGTGAAGACCACCCCGATTGATGCCATGTTTATGTTAACTAGTGATAAACTCTTAAAAATCGTAATTCAAGAGAAGGCCTTAATTCTCAGGGAAAATATCATTAGAGTTCCTGGATGTCTTTCACTCTGGAATGAAGTCCAAGATTTTATTACAAATCTAGACCCAGATGAGCTTTCTACAGAAAGTTTTTCAGTTAAAAAATTTAACTGAAAAAATTGGTTGGTTCGGTTAACTTGGTTTAATGAATGAACTAGAATTACTTGTTCCACAACAAAATCCAATAAATTTGAAATCTTTCTGGATTAATCTTAAATTGGGTCAAAAAGTAACCAAATATAATAAGGATCCCTCTATTTTGACAGCCCTTGCTTTCGAAGTCTTAAAATTTTTTTATCCTGAGCCAGAGTGGCTGTGAAGTTCCTTACCCTAGCGAAAGATTTTTCTGAAACTTTTTCTCCTCGAGACTAAAGACAATTAAATGAAGTGACATAGCTAACTGGAAAAAAACGGTCGAGTCAGACTGGTGGGGTGACAAGGAGACTTGGGAACTTTTGGAGTGGACCGGCAAGTATGCCATTTGAAAGGAGATAACTAAAACATGTTTTTGCGTGCTTTATATTGTATATAGTATTTTTTTTTTTCCCTTATGGATAATAGTGATTTCGTTTTGTGGAATATTGTGTACCGTTATGTGTAATAAATTAGTTGATAAAGTTTCAAACCTGATGAAGATTATTTTCCTGTTATGCATGAAAAGAACCCGCCTCGTGTCTGAACGGGCGCCAGGTGCAACAACAGTGGCTTTGAATTTTTACTCATGGATCCCTTTTGTCTGATGAACGCCAGAGTTTGGAGGTTCCTCCAAAATTTTCTCTTTCTACATCCCTGTGGGTTGAGATCCTGCATTTTGGCATTGAAATTGCTGTGATTTGCACAGTTCTGTACCAGCTACCATGCCACTTAGAAAAATTCACAAGAGCTGTTTATACTCAGTGATTTTCGAGCTGCTCTGTTGGCTATCGTTTCGGATAAAAATCCCATATCAAAGGATATATTGGACTGTCAACATTATCTAGAAAATCTGGCTTCACTTGAGAAAACTACAGTCTTCCAGTGGGTTTCTGCCTTCTCTTCTTTCTGCCCTCTGTGGGATTCCAGGTAATGAGAAAGCCGACTTTCTTGGCAAAAAAAAGGGTGCTTTAATTGTGCAGAATATTTTCTCGTCCTTTGCCTTTCCATACTGTTAGGGGATCTTATTAAAAGATCTTTCAAAGTACATGCTCAGGAAGATCTCTATCATCGTGTTTCTCATAAGTCTTGGAAGAATGCTATTACGAATTTGTGTAATGGCCTAAGGCATAGAGCGGTCGGTCACTGAATTCCGCCTTGCCATCGGACATGACTGCCTACAATATCAACTTCATAGATTCAAAATTGTTCCTTCTCCAATATGCATTCTGTGCAGCTCTGAAGAGGTGATGGATGACGCACATCTACCCCACTGTCCTGCTCTGAGCAAGACTTTTCTCGACGAACATTACTGGGATGCAAGAGATATGTTAGATTAATGAAGAAATGAAGATTCCAACAATGGAAAACTAGCAATATGGTTTTAATATTTTTGTCAAAACTAACATACATATAAAACAAGGAAGAAACAAATTACAGTTAACCTAACATCACGTGGAAACTGACTTTGTGATGACACCAAAGATCAATTGAACTCGCATACATATGACACCACAAAAATATTGTTATCTCTGACATTACATGCTATTTTTTGCAATTTTTCCATTCTTCTCTCGCAATTTTTACTGAAACATTTCTGGTAGCATTGGTCCGAAGTTCGAATCCCAACTAAGGCATTGTTTATTTTTCATATTTCCTACTTTGAAATAAAGCTTATCATCCTACATAATTTTGAACATAACCATAATCAATGCAAAAAACATACAGATTTCCTTTGGTGTTGTGGGCTGTTAATATTTTCTGTATGAATGTGGCTGCAAATTATTTCTGACATTATTTTACAAGGTATCAATTATTTTCTAGCACAACAATACTATTTATGAGATAATGATAAAAAATTGCTCCAAAAATTGTATAATATTCATATTTTGTTTGACATTCATATGAATACATCAAAAGCAAAAGAAATGAAAAACTTGGTGGGAAATGGTAGAGGATTTTTTACATTAATCTCACAAAACATTCAAGCATCTTTGAAGTCATGTTTCAAATTAATTTCATTACCCCGGCATCTGTAAAAAAAGAGTTTTAGAATCACTGAGTATACTTTTGTAAACACTAATGTCTGGGCCTTCAGAATCACTTTCCCCCTGAATCACCCAATTTTTTTTTGTTCAACATATTCCACTAGTATGCAAAATTAAAACCATAAGATTAGAATAATATAAATAGTAAGTTGTAATAAAAACATTATATTTGTTAAGCAAAATGTTTAACAAATGCAGCACAACATATCAGAAAGAAAGCAGGTGTTTTACTATGATTTCAATAACAAAATTAAAAAAAAAAAAAAAAAAAAAAAAAAAAAAACTACAAACTTGTTTTTATGGTTGTGTGATGGCATCTAGAAACAGAAAAAGTAAACTAAAATAAATAAAACTGGAGAGCCCAAAACTATAACATTGGAAATGAGATGCTGATATCACATAAGGGTGAATTACGCTGCACAATAAAAGGGTTTACCATATGACATATGAAGAGCTTTGACTATTTCTTTTCCACATACAGCAACAGTTCAAATACTTTGACTATTATTAAGTACCTGAAATTGATATTCAGTTTTACGAATTTTTTAAAGTTTTCATGGTTCACAAAAAACACATAGCTAATGCTTTTTAATAATGTGTACAGCAGATGACATATTTTACAAATATTTATGAATTTCAGTTTTTCTTTATATTAAAAATAAAGGTTTTATAATAAATAAATGGTTCAAATTTTTAATGAGAAAGCTTCAAAACATTAGGCATACCATTAAATTCTCTTGTATGCCAAATATCACAAAGAGTTCAGATTGAATATCATTTTGCATAAAAACTTTTATCACAGCAAGATCTTTAGGTATAACTAAAGCCTAGAAAAGAAATGCAATAGCTGTAAAAATGCAATATTTCCACCCTTAACAGATAAATCTATTTCACAAAATGAAATCAAGCAATTAGCAATTTAGCAAGCAATTTATACAATTTAGCTCTTGTATCCATAATATTACAACTTCAAAATCTACTGTGAGTATATGAAACGAATGCAACAGGTAATGTAGAAGATTTAAACGCCATTCACATGCAACGCTCTTTCGCACAGCTGCCATTAGCAAGAGGAGAAAAAGGAGACATGAAACAGTTTCGTCTCCGAATTGGCCGATTTCTCATACTGTTTATACATATTTAACATTTTTTACTGTTGTTAATTTTGTAATTTGTACTTTCACAACTGGTACCTGAACTTTCCTAATGGTTCCTGAAAAATATATGCTTTTTAATTATTATTATTATTATTATTTTATAAGCTGTTATTTAGTTCACTCTTGGTGCTTTTCACTGTGGTTAAAAGATGGTCATGGATTTTTAAACTGCTTCCTGATAAGATATAGAACTCAAACTTTGTACATACAACACTGCTTGTGGATGTGGTGTCACGCTTTTGATTTTTAGAGGATTAGATTTTTTTCAAATTTAAAGTTGAAACGATTTTTTGCAAATATTAACAAATAAACTGAGAATCTCAGAGTATTATAGTTTGTACCATAACACAAATTTGTACATACACTATGGAGGAAAAAAAATTAAATGAAATTTTTAGTGTAATTTTTTTAAAAAATATTTTAGAATTTTTTTGAAAATCGTTCATATTTTTAGACTTTTTGACGCCCCATTAATTTTAAAATTTCATATCTAAAAATATATTGGTTACAAACTTCCGACATTTTTACAGCTTATAAAACAAATTTTTCGCATTTAAAAAAATGATAAAGGAAATTAATTAGACGATTTTTTTACTTTTTTGAAAGATATGCAATGAAACAGAATGGGAAATGTTGGTTCTTCTTGGGCATCAATTTGAAACATCGGTTTCAAAGTAATAATCTCATTATACCACACTATTTTATGACATTATTTATACTATATAAGTTGTTATTGTTTCCAGTTGTTAGTTCAGCATGAGATTGGAGATATTTCTAAGTTAACTTTCTCTTAAGATGCGTTTTGCATTCCATTGTGTTTAACATTCTTATCAGATTGAAGCATAACTACTGATTATATTTAGTGATATTCTAAACACTTGTACGAGTATTTATGTGGAAAATTCCAGAACTTTCAAGAGTTTCTGTTGACAAAGTAAATTTAATTAAGCTATCATCGGATTTGAGTGCAATGACAATCATTTATGAACTATTATCAATCTATTACAAAGCCGTACGCATGAAACAATATTATAATTAATTAATGTATTAAAATTGTTTTGAACATGTTTTACAAAACAAAAAAAGGTAAAGAAAAATTCTGCTTGCGTTTTATGATTTTTTGCAATTTTTCTGGCCACATAAGGTTTTAAAAAAAGGTTTGTAATTTATGTTTATATTTACCAATTGAAGAAATAGCACTATATTTGATTTATATATATATGTGTGTGTGTACTGAAATTCAGTAATAAAATTTTAAAGATTTGAAATGATTAAATGTCTGTTTAGACAGTTTGTATTCTTTAAACTGCAAATGCAAACTGAGAAACCGATAAATCCTTTTACTTAAAGTCTTAAAACATATACAGGTATGGACTAAATTATTTATTATTTTTACTGCTTATTTAAAATTATATACTTTATAGAAACAAGGATGGGTTTTGCAAAACACTGAAAAGAAAAATTATTTGAAATGAAAATGTGACTGAGATAATATTTGTTTTAAAGATTTTAGATAAAAGTGTATTTTTATTTTTTTTTCTCAGAAAACTAATTCCTTAATTTCAAAATCATTCCTTGAAGTTATTAAGAACTAATAAATATAATAAAAATCTGGGGGGGGGAGACATTGAAAATTACAGAAGAAAAACATTTTAATTGTAAAATATTTCTTCAAAAATTTTAATTAAAAAAATTACTAGCAAAAACTTTTTTTTCAGCTTAAAATTATTTTGTCTTACAAAAGCATTTAATAATATTCATAAAAAGTAGATGAATATGCTTAAATTTTTTTTAAAAAAATCATTCAAAAGATACCGAGTCCCTTGTTGCGTGGAAGCCGATATGCACTTGTCTTAACTTTAGTTTTAATTTAAAACGATATTTCTGGAATACCTAGTATCAGATAACATTGTCTGTATTTGTCTATAATTTCCGTATCTTGTACAGTTCATTTGCCCTGCTAATTTTTGGGGGAATGCTATCACATCCCCAGACATCTATCAGCGCGACTGTTTCGCTGACAGTCCAGCGAGCAGTAACTAAAATTAAGTGAACCGTGCAGTATAGTACGGGAAATCTCCCCATTTGCCCTGCTCCCAAGAGGTAAGGAACATTCAACCAAGTTCTACCTCCAATTCGGCAAGGCAGTTAATGCTTCTCCCATGTGAATGGGACACGTTGAAAGAACCAGTTTTCGCTACCGGTCGAATCTACTCTTGTGAACGGGCTTTCGAAACACAGTGTACATTATACGTAGCATATTCGGAAACTAAGTACCGTTTCATTCTAGCGCTGTGGTAGTCGTCCTGCGCATGTGCACTAGTCTTTCTTGTTCACTTGAATTTCAATTGTCGCCATTTTGGTTGCACTATGTTGTGTTTTCAGTTTGCTGTGCACATTCAAAATGTTTAAGACAATTAGTTCTCCCGCTGACTGCGAGATTCGTGCCGTGATTAAATTTTTGAACGCGAGGAATGTTAAACCAGCCGAAATTTATCGTCAAGTGACAGAAGTTTATGGTGAATACGCGATAAGTGATGGAATGGTGAGAAAGTGGGTAAGAATGTTTAATGCAGGTCGAACAAATGTCCACGCCGAGGCTCGGAGTGGTCGGCCTTCTGTTGTCATCGATGATTTGGTAAGGAAAGTTGATGAAGCAATTCATGAGAACAGACACTTCACAATGACAACTCTTTCAGAGGCATTTCCAGAAATTTCACGTACTGTTTTGTTCGAAATTGTGTCTGACCGCTTGAATTATCGCAAACTGTGTTCCCGATAGGTTCCAAAAATGCTCACTGATGTTCACAAAACAAAGCAACTTGGTAGTGCCCTGACATTTCTCACGCGGTACAGTGATGAGGGAGAAAACTTTTTAAACCAAATTGCGACAGGTGATGAAACTTGGGTGTGTCATTTCACACCAGAATCGAAACAACAATCGATGGAGTGGAGACACACTCATTCTCCAAAAAAACAAAAGTTCAAAGTCACAATGTCATCACAAAAAATCATGTGCACTGTCTTCTGGGATAGGAAATGGCGTTTTGTTTACTCAATTTCTTCCCAGAGGTGAAACCATTAATGTGGCACGATATTGTGAGACTTTAACAAAACTAAGGCGTGCCATTCAAAACAAACGAAGAGGAATGCTCAGTAAAGGAATTGTGTTGCTCCATGACAATGCTCGGCCCCATACTGCTGGTGTCCCTCAATCGTTAATTCGACAGTTTCATTGGGAGCAGGTCGATCACCCGCCGTACATCCCGGACTTGGCGCCGTCCGACTATCACTTGTTCCTGCACAGGAAGCGCGAGCTTGGTGGCACTGTGGAGTCGTGGTTATCGAAACTGGCGGGAAGTTTCTTTGACGATGGTATACAAAAACTGGTCACCCGCTATGACAAGTATTTGATCATTGGTGGAAACTATGTTGAAAAATAGTTTAAGACATGTATTTTCATGTAAAAATAAAATTGGATACGAAAAAATTGTTTTACTATTTTTTTTTTTTTTCAAAACGGTACTTAATTTCCGAATATGCCTCGTATCATATAAATACAAGTTATATGTGCTACCAACATAATACATATACATGTAAGTATACATGATATCATATAGCACACATGTACAAGTATAAAAATTTGATACATTATGCACAATAAGTCATTATAAAGTAATCATAAAGCATACTGTTGTCCAATACATTTAAAGTACACTTTCAGCTTTCCACGAACATGAATATAAAAGATTCTTATATAGCAAAGCTTATGAAGGCTATCTGCCTAAGGAAAGGGGTGGATTTCAAAAGATGATAAATATTCTATATGCATTGTCAATTTTAAAGGGCGATAGAACAATCAGCAGAATGCTTTACATCATGGCCCTGAATAAGAAATGAAACACTGGTCCAAGTTTTGCACTGTGTTTACATTCACTGTCCGGACTCTGAAAGACAGTAATGGATGCATTTAGACAGAAATAATGGGTGAATGTGTGGTATGTTGCACCTTCTTTTTACTTGCATATGACTAAAACTTACAAATATTTATTTTTTAAAAAAAATGGATCCAAAAAATTATGATTCACTTAAATCATGGATACAGAAGCTTAACTGTACTTTTTTAAAAATATACATGCACATATTTATGAGTAGAAATTATCCTTACTGTCATCAACAGAATTAAGAGTGTAAGAAATGATAACAAGATATTTAGCCATATGTTGTTTTCCAAGTGGTCAGACACTTGCAACTTAATGCATTTATCAGAAAAGAGTGGACCTATTGGTCCCTTTAGCCATCTCATCACTGTGAACATTGATAAGGGTGCCTCATAGGAGGTAACAGAATTACACCAGTGAGAAAGGGGAAACTCCATCCTAATTTGGGTGGAAGTCTTCACGGAGGATATATACAGGGGTTTCCTACCAATAACCTAATGAAAGACCTTTGAACTTGACAATATTTTAAGTGCCCCTTGGCACAAAGATGCTATATATTTACAAAAATCTATGCTTTTTATGGGACTTGAACCCAAGGCTATGGCAGCTGGCTTTCCTACCGTCATGCCAACTACAACTAGGGGTGTACACACTTAACGATATAAACATTAACCCAATTACAAGTTTTACAAATATGTTCTTAATTCACTGAAATTAAGCTATAATGCATAAGTATCACTTTCTGTGGAGAATTTTCCTAGCTAGAAAATATCATTTTTGTTACAGGAAGACCTGTTAACCTAGATTACCTAATACTATAACTAATACTTGTTAAATAAAATTGCATTATGAAAATATTACATACAATAAGAATAATCCTAATTCAGTGATCAGCTAAAATTAAACTAAGATTTTCAGTTACTGTACCATTTATGTAGTTAATGTGAATTTTAATTTTTGTCTTTTTTGGAAATCTAAGAGGATCGTGTGGACAGGCTTCAAGAATCACAGATTAAGAAATGATGTCATAGATGACATAAATTAATGTAATATCAAAAGAATTTTCAAAGGCGGAACAGGAAAGCTCTTCAAAATGAGTTTCTCATACTTTAATAACAAATTATAAGCTAATTTGACAAAACAAATTAAAATAACAATTTGTCTACTAATGAATGTATTTTAGAAAATAACTTACATTGATAAGAGTAAAGTAATAAATAAGAAACTTGGATTTCATGTCATCCATAAACAAACCCACAAATTTTCAGACTACAGATAATAATGATTATAATATATGTAATTATCCAAGTTTAAAAAATTCTAAAATTCTGATTCTAAAAAGAGACAGAAGATATACATTTCACAGTATTCATTCTTCAAAAAGGAAAAGTACAGAAATGTTTGTATTTCTGTTTTTTCAAGCCAATAAGTTACTTTATAATTAAATGAAAATATAGAATAAATTGAAACACACAATGAAAATGCTTTAAAATCAATAAAATATGTACACATTATTTACAATGTTGCATAATTCCTTGATTAAATATTCCACTAAGTTTTAAAAAATTAACAAACAACAATAGATAAATATCTCACACAAAGAGGTTCAAGGTAACTGATGCCTGAAATATATGAGCTTGTACCAATATTGACTGAACATGTTTCTATGTGAGAATCACAAATGACAACACCAGGTGATATTTGGCCCTTCTCCAAAGTCTGGATATATGAATTCATAAGAAGGTTTTTATCTGATTTGTTATTCTGAATCTGAAACAATAATTTCAAATAAATACAAGAAAACATTAAAAAAATCTGAAAGCTTTGAAATTTTATATTACAACCAAAGGGGCATTTTTTTTTAACATTTTGCGGGTTACCTTTATTTATTAAATATCATATTCTCTGCACTTAAATCACATAAAATTTAGTTCAACAGCAATATCACAAAATATTTAAAAACAGCATACCTTTACAATTTTTGATAGACAGTCTTGTGCACTAGAGATAAAAATGTTTTCTCCCACACAGTATTGCCAGTGCTCACTTTGAAATAGTTGAGATTGCAAAAATCCGTTTAAGTTTTATAAAATATCGTGATAAAACAATTTGAAATTCAAAATTCGGGCTTCCAAGTACCCATACTTGGGTGAAGGATTATGTTATTCAAAATTTAATGGCTCTAAGTACCATTGTTTTTTCACAATGGGAGAAACATGCAGATTTTTCATTTCTAATTTCTTTAAATATAATACAGGGTGATTATATTTGGTGGCGACAGTTTAAAAAGTAAAGCGGGCACAAAACAAAAAAAAACAATAGTCCCTCAGGGACAAAGCCCCTTTGGACTAATAAGAGAAAGAAAGGACTAATAACATATTAATTCATATATATAGGTTACATTATATATATTTCATATATATAATGCAACCTATATATATGAAAATATTCATCAAGATAATTCAATTAAACCAATTTAATCACTAATCCTTTATATTATAACATATCAGAAATTAAAAATTCCAACCTATATATCAAAATTTAAATTCAATAATTGCTCTGGTAAATATTTAATAAACCTCTCAAATTACAGTAGAAAGCTCGAAATAGTTTGAAGAAATATCAATGATAATTTGATTTATCTTTAGAAGGATTTGCCATTTTTTTAGAGAGTCTGAATTTCTTCAAATTTTGATCGTTGTTTATCACCTCTGTTCTAATTGGCTAGAGGGAGTTCAAGTTTTGTTTAAGACTGGCTAATTTTTAATTTTAGTGATGTTTAAGCCAATAGTGAATTTAGAGGCGGTACGCACTGAGCATCTCCGAGCTTTCAAAAGTTGTTACACGAGAGGCAGGGGTAGAATTTTTTTTTTTTTTTTGCGGATAGACTTTATCAACTTTTCTGAATGGAAGGAGCATGAGGCAGCGCTCAGGCCTGCTGCGTTTGCCGTTAAAAGTTGTTAACGCCTCTGGGCTGCGAGAACCAGTCCATCACGTGGTGGCTATCATCGTGACATTTGTCGGCATCTGTATTTGTGGAGTTGGGGCTAGGTCCCGCATTTTCTCTTCCAGCTGTTCTAAGTCAAGAGTATCAGAGTTATCATCATGACATTTGTCAGCATCTGTGTTTGTGGAGTTGGGACTAGGTCCTGCATTTTCTCTTCCTGCCATTATGGCTACTCATGAATCATCTGTCTTGATTAAGTCAAGAGTATTAGAGAGGACCACTCGCATGGGAACTGTCGGTGAGAATCATTGTTCCACTCTTGAAAAAAGGATGAACTTGTTTTCCCTTCTTTGAAAAAAAGTCATAGACTGCAGTTGAAATAGTTGAGTAAACTTTCTTCTAAATTTCTAGCGTTTAGCCAAGTGTGAGTCTCAAACCGTTATCAGACTGTGGTTTTGTCTTTGTCAACTATTACGTATCGATTGAACAATGTTTCCAACTTCAGAGTCTTCATACTTTTTTTTTAACAGCGATGAAATAGCTAACTGTGAGTGTCTCGACCTGTTATCCAACCATGGGTTTGTCAACTATACGTATCGATTGAACAGTGTTTCGGACTTCTGAATTTTAAGACTTGTTTTTTTGGACAGCGAATGAAATAGCCAACCATGATTGTCTCTAACAGTTGTGAGATGAATAGTGGTTCTGTCAACTAATTAAGTATCAACTGAATATTGTTTCTACGTAAGAGTCTTCAGATTTGGGTTTTAGAGAGCAATAATCTAGCCAACTTTGAGTGAATTTTTTTTTTCTTTTGTTACCTCTCATTTTATTTCTTGCTAGTAATCTAACTAATCTGAGGAAATGAATTTTATTTTTTAAATGTTTGATTGTCATGTTCATTTAATTTTGATATGACCGAAGATAAATGCACTGATGTGTCACAGTTTAAGGAATTATGAGTTATTCTAAATTAGCTTTATACTGCATTTAAATTCTTGAGTACCTGTTTAAAATTATTAATAACTGTGAGGTGTTTCAATATGATTTTAGTATGATTTGAATAATATTAAAATGAAATTGAAATTTAAAAAAAAAATATGAGTAACTTTTAGAAAATGTTTTGTAGGGGTAGTCTGGCCAGCTATCTTAAATTATAAAGTTTCTAATGTTCAATAAATGTGTTTATTGATTCAATTAGTGTATGTTTTGAGTTTTGTTTGTGGTCTACTGTAGGTCACCCATGTGATCCTTTCGGAAAACATGGTTAGTTCAATTCGAACTTGGGTAAATCTTATTGTGGTAGTAGAAAAATGAATTTTTAGTGTTTTGTGACTATATGATCGGCTTACTTAATTTATTTGAATTGGTGATTACACTTCTTTAGTGTGACATTTATCTTTCCCTAGTGTTTTGAAGAGTTTTGTGTTATATTTAAATGTAAACTGTTTTAGGGCTATCTCTAGATTTGTATTGAAATTCATGTGTTTTCAGGTTGGAGTGCTGATTTAGTTTATTTTTAGTAAGAGATATCAGATTGATGATTTTGTTACAGAAATGAATTTTTACATTGTTTTGATAAAATAATCTTTGATTTTACAAAAACACCATGGAGGATATTTACTTTTCATTCTTGATTTAATAAATAAGTTTCTATCATGAAAGGGTACACTTAGTTAGTCTTAGTTTTTTATTTATTTTTTATGTTGCCAGAAAGAGTTAGTTAAGTAGTCAGTCTAGTTTAAAAGTTTAATGTAAAAATTAAATTTTAATGTTTTTTTCCTACGTAACAATATTCTCAGTTGGCAAGAGATCAGGAATTTATGCTGCCCAAAGCTTTCACACAGCCAGATTGATATGAACTGTAAGTGGGCTAGGTATTTCCTATGGAAAAATGGTAATTGGGATACCCAGCAAATATGGTAGTGCTGCAGCATTGGTACTTCACTGGCACAGAGTCATGTCATCAATGTGCTTTTAATGAATAATAGAGGTGTTGAGACTAATAGCACTTCAAATTAAGATTGCATACTGATAGACTGTGTGGTGTATTGAAATAGCACAAAAATCTGCACAATAGCCACATAATCTCCTGAGTCTGACACTGTTATCATAATTGATGACACAGAAATAAACTTTTTCACTGAATATCATGTTATTATATAAACAAAATATTAATATAATTTTAACAAAAATTTTAAAGGGAAGAAAAATAAAATATTTATTACCTGGCAAATGGAATGGATCTGATTCGAAGAAGCTACTCTAAATAAATTTTGTCATGTGATCTTCTGCAGTGGGTATGCAAGACCAATACAAATGTTGACAATTGCTTAGTATTTCTGAAACCGTAATTAAGTCATGATATTTTTAGAAAAATAAATTCAGACATACAATAAAAATTAATCAGTAAAGAAAAAAAAAGGATTAAATATATTATTAAGTCATATTAAATTATTTAATTGGATAAATACAGAACAGTAATTAGTCAAGCAACATGTAGCATTCAGATATAGGATC